GTGAAAATAATTAATTTACTTATTAATTAATTTGAAAAATAAATTAAAAAATTAATAAATTAATTTATTAAATTAATTAATTTATTTATTAAATTAATTAATTAATTATTAATTATTATAAATTAATTAATTATAAATTAATTATTTAAAAAATTAATTAATTTAAATATTAAGTATAATTTATAGGATATATACTTTCTTTATAATGCCATTACATATTTCTATTAATATAAAAAGTTTCAGAGCTTTTTATTCACTTTACTTTTTCGGGATTTTATGAACTGAAAAATGACAGTTTTCGTGAGAATGACCCATATATATATACATACATACACAGCAGAATTTATCAATGCAATCGTGTGCGGAACACCCGAAAAGAGTGAAACGGAAATAGAAAATAAAATGCTAGAAAAATACAGAATAAAATACAAAATGTAATCTATAAGGAGACTAGTAAATTCAAATAAACTTACACTCTCCGGATATATATATTCATGAACGTTACAGTGTATATGTTTTAAATGTTGGGTATATGTTGTAGGAGAACGGCCGATGTAAGGTCCGTTGGTTACTCTGAACTCTTTAGTCTCTCTCGGGAAGATGTTTTATCAGCCATGAAGGATTATCCTGAAGCTGAGGTAACTGAATATTGCGTACCAAAAAGCTGGTTTATATCATTTATTTAACATAATTCAATGTTTTGATATTCTTTTCAGATTTCACATTACTTTCCTACATTTTAGGGGTTTTTTACTATTTTAAAATAAAACAAAAAGGGACTTTTGGGAGATTTTTCAACTAATTTTACAGCATTAGATAGTGTGTATAAATGAGGTCCCACATTTTTTTTTCGTTACCTCCACTCCTCCTTCCCTTTGTCACAAAGTGACCAACTTCACTATACCCACTACCCTACCCTCATTGTCACAAAGAGATGACGCAATTTAACGTAAGCATATGCTTGCAATAGCGGATCCATTTTGAAACTCAGAAGCAACTTTATAGATCATATTTCAAGTTTTATTTTGAAGCTTGTTTCAATGATATTTGTGTGCATAACAATGATAATTCTCATATTTTGATTTAAATAAATTAAAGTAATATAATAATAAATAGGATAAAAATATTAAATCTGATGATCTAAATGTTTTTATTTTAACCAGAATGCTTGATTTCACTCTTCTTCTTTCTCCCTCTTGTCAGGAATCTCACAATCAACCCTTATTCATTAAACACCATTTCATCAACCCCAAGAGAGACATCATTTGTAAACCCTTATTTAAATCTCAGAGGAATAAATATTGTTAACACTATATCTTAGTATCTTATAACAATATCAATATATATGTTAACAATATATATGCTCCCGGCTAGCACCGACCACAGTGCTGACGCAAAATGTCTTCAGTGGTGGACGGTTTAGAGTCCTCTTGACGCCGGGCTAACTGTGAGAAATTTCATTGGTTTTTCTCTTCATGTAATACTAGTCTTAGTTCCTCCAACTTCTCGAAGATTAGTTTATGCCAATGCTTGATCCAGGAGTTCCCTTATCTTCTGGGTTGGTTTCAATAATAAACCTTTAGGGGGTTGATCATTTATAAGTATACAAGGGGGATAAGCCCCCTATTCGCTGCCACTCACCAACCCAGAAGGTTACATAGCAATAATTGTTGTTTCTTGGCAGAAAACAGTTTTTCTATTAAGGTTATTCACTTAATATATATGTACTAAAAGGAATTAATTTTCCTTACGCTTATGCCCCATTTTCCCACGTCCAAATATTATTGCCTATTAATATCATAAATATCTAAATCTGTTGGTGAACAGAAGTAATTTTTCTAAGTAATCATTTTTTAAAATAACATTTATATTGTTATAACATTACATTGTTCAAACAAATTTGGTAAGTTCACAACCGTAATTTAATATTTTCGCTTACCAAACGGGCGGATTTGCTAAATACTATTTTTGCTTGCATCTCATTGTGAATGAAAATGATCGTCAAGTTCTAAATCATTTAACAGATCACTTTAACTGTAATTTATTACTGTGTATTAATGTTATTTGCCCAAAAATAATAATTATAAAACGGTTAATAATATTAGACCACCTTTCTAAATAGCTTTATCTTAAAATGTAGAGCAGAATGTATCTTAAAATGCAATATTTTAATAATAATAATAGAGTGGATCCTAGAATATCCACCCCATGGTGATTTTTTCGAAATCTCGCCAAACTATGTTTCTAGAAGCAATTTCGGGGATATATGTTGTTGTTGATGTAAAATAAGTTATTTTCTATTTTATTTTATTGAAAATATTATAATAAATTTGTAATAATTTAAATTGATATTTAATAATAAAAAAACAACGTTGATCCAAGTAATAATCGCCAATTTGGCGAGATTTCAAAAAGTCACCACGAGGTGGGCTATTCTAGGATTTTACCTAATAAAAAAACAGCAATTTTCCTAGTTTTTAACTCTTGGCTTAAATGCGTGACAATAGCAGTACAGGAAAATAACTTTAAATTAGAGATACAAAATTATTTATAAAAAAACAATACCTTGATGACTTTTTTTAATTTTATGCTGATGACAACCAAAACAGTATGGTAATGAATGAGAAAAAATGGATCCTACCACGTGATTTTTCGGCCCAGAAAAATGCACGGACAGCAATGGAAAACTGCTGCACCATCATTAGATTTTTATATATAGTTAAGCAACCTAAAAAATAGATATCAACAGTTCCACCGCTATTCACAAAACTAAATAATTCTTTTAATGCACATTCAAAAGATCGAAAATAAAATCAAACTTACTAGAAAAACTCAATTAATGCTGCCAAGTATGTAACTAAGTTATTCTCTCACAATGATGAATGATCTTGTTAAAATAGTGTGGAAGGGAATAATAGAATCTATTTTTAGGAAATTCTTCAATCCATGGGCAGACGGCGCTTGATGGAGGCTAGACTAGCCAGTCCTTCAGACAAATCACCTTACCAAGAAGACTCAGAGTAGGTGTGAATGGCTTTCTTTCCACTATTAACAATCTTTTTTTGTTGGTGACTTACATTCTTTGCTACGTCTAATATCTAAAGTTCCTTTTTATTCAATTTATTCAAGGGGGGAAAAAAGCATTTTTCTTGCTGGATTGTATTTATTTATTTTATGAAGACGATAAAAAAAGAGAATGAATGCAAAAAATAATTTACTTAAACAGTTACAGTATAAAACAGTATATTACAGTTTAAAACACGAAAAATTCACTAAAAAAATGATGCCTTTAATAAGCGATTCATAAAACAAGTTAACTGTTTATTAACGGATAACAAAGATACAAATAAGTTAATTAATAATTTAGTTACTGATTAATAATTTATTAAAGAATTACGCATTTTGCAAATACTTGTTTAAAACAAATAAATTAATTTATAATTTAAGTATTGATTAATAATTTATTAAAAAGTTATAAATATATTTTATCAACAGGCAAATGAATTGCTTGTCAAAATATTAAAATAAATACAAATTAATTAATTCATGATTAATTTTTTACTAATTATTTATTGAAGAATTATGTATTTTATAAATGTTTCATAAAGCAAATATACAATTATCGATAAAGTTGGATATTGATTATATATATTTATTTAACAAAGACTATAAGAAAAGCAAATGAATACAAAAATACTTTATTTAAAAGCAGTTTACAACGCGAAGAATTCATTAATAAAACTATGTCTCTTATAAACGATTCATAAAGCATATAAATTGTTCATTAAAGGATAACAAAAATACGAGTAAATTAACTAATAATTTATTTACTGTTTAGTAATTTATTAAGGAATTATGCACTTAATGCTCTATTAAATGCACTTTAATGCTCTATTAAAGAGTTATAATGATATTTTATAAGCAAATTAATTGGTTTTAAAATATTGCAACAAATACAAATACATTAATTCATAATTGAACTTTTTATTAATTATTAATTAAGAAATTATCCATTTTGTAAATGTTTTCATAAAGCAAATAAATTGATTAATAATTAAATTGTTGATTAATGATTTATTAAAGAATCATACTTTATATAAATATTTTTTAAAGCAAATATACAGTTGCTGAAAATCAGAGTTCTACAACTCTGCCAAGTATAAGTGCCCGAAACAGTGTTCAAAACGCACACAAAAATAAACACTCAAAATAACTTTTGCTCTATTGATCTGATTTTCAAGCTAAGACTCAATCTTAATGATTTGGGGTCTAACTTTAAATATGCTAATTAATTACAGCAGACGTAATTTTAAGTTAAGAAATCGAATAATAAAACGTACTTTCTATGAACAAACACACCTTTTTCTTAGTCGGATAATGATTTGGGTTATCGACTCTCAAAATAAGCCGCAATCTGAAAAGTATGATTCCAATAGTTAGGTCAGGAGGGTGCACCAAAGTTTGGACCCCTTAATGTTAATTTTACTTTTGACGCATTTTGCCATTTCGCGAGAATTTCTGTAGAAAATAAAAAACTTTTTGTACACAACTATAAAATTTGTTTATCCAAAGATAGTTCCATGCAAAAAATAATTTTTAATAATTATGTATTATTTTATTAAGTAACAGTTGAAAATAATTTAAATTGTAAAAAGAACGAATCTTAAACAACGTTATTTTATGTATCAAAATACAAATTTTGAACGCAATCGGTCGAGTAGTTCCTGATTTATCAAATTTAAAAAGGATCATATCTTTCCTTTCTTTTCTTCCAGACGCGGATACGTACATAGGTTAGTGAAACCCTTACCCGTATAATCCGCGTCTGGCCCCTACTTCCAGCCAACCTCAATCAATTATTTAAAGTTTCAAAAAAAGGAGGTTAAAATTTTGTTTACAAATATACAGAAATATTAATTTGTTTACAAATATACAGAAATATTAATTATAGTTTAAACAAAGAATTTTTTTTAAATATATATATGACATATAGAAAGTGACAATAAATGAATTTTGAAAAGTGAATTATTAAAGGATCATATCTGTGAAATTTTATTTCACGAGAACTATTTGACCGAATACTGTATGATAATGCTTTGAAGATCCCTAATTGTGTTTAAATTTAATAAGCCATAGACGACTTGTTTACGAATTTTCAACTCAAATTGCTTCGAACTATCGGAATTGAATCTGAAACGTTCCTTTATTTCAGTGCTGTGGTTTCAATTTGTTCGTAGAAATTCAAGAACTGGTACTGAGAATAACAAAAATGATCATCGATCGGAATATAAAGTATTATTTCCCCAAACTCAGCAATATTCCGAAAATAGAGTCTTAAAAAAAGTTCTCTCTCGACATCCTTCGATCCCTCTTGACCATTTCTCACTGAAATGCCAGGAAATAAAAAAAAGAGAAAGAAAATGACTTCCTTGATCTCCCAATGAAAAGTTTCCCTTTTTACCCCTACTTCTGAGAAAAAGTTTCATTTCACCCATGTAAAGAAAAAAAAGGAAGAAATCGGTACAGAACTCATAGAGAAAAGGTTGGCTGACTTTGTGTTATTTGAAATCTCTTTTTGAAAAAGATTTCAGAGTTTATCACTTTCCCAATCCGAAATTCGGGAACAGATAGATTGAAATGAAGTTAGCATTTTATGTGTTTCCTTTTCGAAAATCTGAAATTCATATTATTGTTATTTTAATTGAAAGGCTTAAAGAGATAAAAAAATGGTAAGCCTCATAAAATTGGGAAAATAAAGAGTCGAATGCATGAATGCCAATGAATTAACATATTAAAGTAAAATAAAAATTTTAAAAAAATATGTTTTCAAGTGGATTAAAAAAAGAAAATAATTCTTGAAAGAGATGAGAGGGGATTTTCATAGATGATGATAGAAGTAAATTACGAAAGTAATGCGCGTTTTGCGTTTCTAGCAAAACTGAAATGGCCCACTTAAAAAAGTAATTCATAATTTTTAAAATATTTTCCCTATTATTTTCTTCATTTAATTACCTGTCTGTTAATTTGTTTATAGAGGATCATTAAAATTTCAATTGCTGATGAAAGGTGAAAAAAATTGCCTGCTTATTTATTTAAAAATATAACGTGAATGTGTATTTGCACACAATTTTCGTCCAAATTTTAGCATCCTAGTTTGTTAAAAAGCAGTCGATACTTAACTGATAATTTCCATTTGGCGATATGGCGATCCATTCTGCTTGCAGGGATTAGAAAACGATTGAAACTTGTGATGACTCCCAATGCAGAGAGCTTCATTTAAAGTTTTAGAGTTCTATCTGATCTTTAAGTGATCGGAATTTTGATTGACGATGCATCTCCTTTAACGATAATATCTCAATAAATTCTGCTTGTAGTAATCAAAAAAAACAATTGGAACTAATATTGCTATCTAACACAAAGTTCCAGTCAAAATTTCTTGAGTGTCCTAGTAGTCAAACTTTTGAATTTAAAATAAATTTAATTCAGCGATAAAATAACGATAATTTCTTCGATAAAATGATAATAATTTCTACGATAAAAAGACGATAAACTCTTATTCATAATAAATACTAGTTGCATCAGGAACTTGTAGTGTCATCTAGAACAAACTTCTGGTTAAAATTTAAGTGTCCTACACTCTCACTTTTGTCATTTCAGCAATCCTTCAGTTGCATTTTGTCAATTTTGAGAATTATTTTGTCACGAAATCACGTGAGCTGTGGTGAAATGGGAACTCTCAAATATCTGACAAAAAAAATTTCCTCTTCTCGAAACACCATGGTAGTGCTTTGTAGGAAATGGTTACGTAACTAGGATGAAAACTAAACGAAAGTGACGAAATAAGCCGATCGGCCGGAATAATGGTCAAGCAGTTGGGCTAGTGCAAGGAAGATCCCGGGTTCGAGTCCGGGACCTATCATATGTGCAATTTTTATCGTTGTTCTATCTGTCTTGTGTTAAGGTGACATTGATCGAGCTATATAATGCCTACGATAAAGTGTTCATTGGAAAAACTAGGCACTACAATGTTTTTTTTTTTTTTTTTTTTTTTTTTTTTTTTTTTTTTTTTTNAAAATATTTCTTTCATTATCTACGAAATTCGTTTGCTCCAAGAAGTGACTATAGCTATTTCGTCACTTTGACGAAACATTCACTCGGAGCATATACCTGGAAACATTTTCGTCAAAAACGGAGAAAGTTTCATAAAAATTGAATATTTGTGTACTACAGCAATGTAGTTAAAAGATTGATTCAAAAAAATTATTAATTTAGCAATAAATTCAGCAATAAAAGAATGATTTCTTAACGATAATATCGCAATAATCAATAAACAATTTTAACTTGCTTTTTTATCTGGCAAAAAGCTCTGGTAGAAATTTGACCACTTTCACTAATCGGAAATAAATAAGAAATTTCGATTGCCAGATTCCATCACCTAAAGCACGAAAGCGAGATAATAAAAATACAAAAAAAAAATCATTCTTTTTGTGTTAACTCTTTGCTCTTCACAAATAAAACAAAAATAACAACATAGAAATTTCATAATTTAGTATGTCACCGTATAAAGCTGATAAATGATTCAAGGGTCAAAATATTTAAGTTTTTTATCTTTAATTTTTCACCAATGACAGTCTTAAATGTCTGTATATTCTTTGACGTTTATTGTCATGTGATGAAGTCCTCTGTGATAAGCTAATAATAGTAAATAATAGCTCAAAATTGTAGTAAATTTTTGTTAGATACCATGCTAAGCACCTAGTCTTTGTTTCTGTGTGATTCAAAAGTTTATTTTTAAAAGTTTAAAGTTTTATTGAAACTATATTTAAAGCTTTTGAAGCTATATTTTAGAGCTATATTTGCTATGAACAACTGTTTTATAAAAAGAAAAACGCAATATTGTTGTAAAAAATATTTTAATGCGATTTTAACTTCTCTAGTCAAATGCTGAATAACTCGAAATTTCCGCAACAAACAATTTTGATACCGAACGCGGGTTTTTAATAGCAAATTGGGAAAAAAAAATT